CTATAAGCTGACGATGTCAAGATATGGAGAACAATACGATGTAAGAGTGATAGCTTAGAACTTCAAAATGACCTGAAGAAGTTATCTGAATGGTCTTAAACATGGCAGATAAATACTTCCAAGTGTGTTGTGATGCATATCGGTCATCAAGGCACAGATACATACACGATGAATAACATTGAGCTACTTGTCGTTCAGACATATAATGACTTAGGAGTTATCGTTAGTCAAGACTTAAAGACTACTGCACACTGCCGTGCAATAGCCGCAAAAGGTTTTAGAACCTTATGGTCAATACGCAGAGCTTTTAGTCATGTCGACGCCAAAACGTTTTTGACTTTGTATACAGTGTTCGTTCGTCCTGAACTTGAGTACTGCATACAAGCTGCTAGCCCCTGCTTAAAAAAAGACAGTGAGCTTCTGGAAAAGGTTCAGAGAACAGCAACTAAGCTGATTTCCGGAATATCGAAGCTTCCGTATGAATTTCGGCTGGCCAAGATGAACCTTTTCCCGTTGTCATATCGCAGAACTAGAGGCGACTTGATTACAGCTTTCAAATGGCTTAGTGTCAAATTTGCACCTGATGCGCCCTCATTTTTCTTGTCTTCCAAAACTAGAAAACGACCAACTAAGCTCAATGATCAATCAATTTCGCCTATACGTCAGATATATGGACGACACGTTTATCGTTTATGCAAAACACCATTACGCCGAAAGTAACGCGCAATTTAAACTGCGGTCTTTCAGTTTCAGTTTGGGAAGGACAGGAGGCTCGATGGCCTATGTTAGTCCTGGCAATGGTGGTCTCTCAGTTGATCCAACTTTCTTTTGAAAGAGTCGACGGATGGAGCCTCAACCACGTGCTGAGGTAGTGAATTCCACTCGTTGATGATTCGATGGGAAAGTCGATAGTCAACTGACAAGTAATTTGTTCTCGGCTTATGAACATTTTTGGAGTGTCCTCGTAAATTCTCTGTTTTGGAAGTCAAGAAAAATGAGGGCGCATCAGGTGCAAATTTGACACTAAGCAATTTGAAAGCTGTAATCAAGTCGCCTCTAGTTCTGCGATATGACAACGGGAAAAGGTTCATCTTGGCCAGCCGAAATTCATACGGAAGCTTCGATATTCCGGAAATCAGCTTAGTTGCTGTTCTCTGAACCTTTTCCAGAAGCTCACTGTCTTTTTTTAAGCAGGGGCTAGCAGCTTGTATGCAGTACTCAAGTTCAGGACGAACGAACACTGTATACAAAGTCAAAAACGTTTTGGCGTCGACATGACTAAAAGCTCTGCGTATTGACCATAAGGTTCTAAAACCTTTTGCGGCTATTGCACGGCAGTGTGCAGTAGTCTTTAAGTCTTGACTAACGATAACTCCTAAGTCATTATATGTCTGAACGACAAGTAGCTCAGTGTTATTCATCGTGTATGTATCTGTGCCTTGATGACCGATATGCATCACAACACACTTGGAAGTATTTATCTGCCATGTTTAAGACCATTCAGATAACTTCTTCAGGTCATTTTGAAGTTCTAAGCTATCACTCTTACATCGTATTGTTCTCCATATCTTGACATCGTCAGCTTATAGCAAGACCGATGATGATAGGAGATAAGGAAGGTCATTTACATACAAGAGGAATAGCACTGGCCCCAAAACTGTACCCTGGGGCACTCCACTAAACACAGTTTCCCAGCTAGATAACTTTGAGTTCACCCTCACTCTTTGTTGACGCCCAACTAAGAAGTCTTTTATCCACATCAATAAATTGCCTCCAATCCCGACTTTTCTTAACTTATATAACAGCCGGTTGTGCGGAACTTTGTCAAAAGCTTTACTGAAATCAATGAAGGCGACGTCTACATGTAGCTTTTGGTCCTTAAGAGCGCACCAGCTTTCACGAGCCACTAATAAGTTGGTGAGACAAGAGTAACCTATTCTGAAGCCGTGCTGCTTCTCCGTGACAATAATATTGATTTAGATGATATTCTACACACCTTTAACTCATGCCACCCTTCCATAGACTTCACGTTAGAAAGGGAACGAGACCAATCAATTCCTTTTCTCGATGTACGTCTGATGAGGAGTAATGGTTCTTTAAAAAGATCCATCTTTAGAAAACAAACATGGAATGGCCAGCTAACAAACTTCTATAGCTGGGTCCCGTTAAGTAGAAAGAGAAACCTCATCTACTCTTTATGTTATCGAATATATCATATATGCAGTAAGGAACGTAAAGATGACACAGGTATTCAGTGTTTGACAAAGCTTCTACCAGTAACACCTTCTAATATGATTTGTACCCACCGAGAGAAATCAAAAGACAGAGTCGAGGAAATCGGAAGTGTATTTGGCGATTACCAATATATCGGAATTCTCTGATCTAATCTGGCTAGAGATTGCGGTTGATGTTGAGCACGACGTTACAACACGTGATCTGGTGCGGATGCCTGACCGAGTGCCTTCAGCTAGATGAGTCCACTAAAACATATGGTCAGCATCCAATGTCGAAAACTTACAGGGCTACCCGTTTTTTACGGGATTTATTTACCGCCACAAATGCATTAACGAGGAACGCGAATTGCTCAAGAAAACCCTGACGGAAAATGGTTACCCAGGACGGTTCATAGAAAAGAATATGAATAAAAGTATTTGTGACAAGAAATCTAATTGTTCCGTTACCAAGAAAAACCTTTGTACAAGTCTGGAATTCAAAGGTAATCGAACATCAGACGTAATCAAAAATCATCTAACAACAACTATTAGAAGAACATTTAATGCAGCTAAATTGCGAATAGCCTTGACGAGTGGGAACTTATTTTCTATGTCCATAAAAGACAAGCTTCCGCGTCTGGTCGCCTCTATGTGCATCTACCAGTTCACCTGCTCTTGTGGACCAAGATACATTGGCCGTAACCAGCGCTCGCTTTCAACTCGGATACGGGAACATATTCCAGCTTGGTTCTATAAGGGGGAAAGGGACGTAGTTAGGAGTTCTACACTTAAACACCTAATCGACTGTAACCATTCTACAGGTCCAAAAAACGAATTTAAGGTTGTTTATATGATTCGTTCAAATCTACCCAGATTTCTTCGCATCCAACTTTTAAAAATAGCCGAAGCTCTTACCATCCAGGAGCTTAAACCAGAACTATACATACAAAATAAGTACGTCTTATCGTTATCGTTACCTTGGCCTTAAGTATTTCGATTATCCAATTGTTTTTATTATTATTATTACTGCATTCCCCCTTTACTTATGTCGTATATTTTCATTGTTTTATTCGTGAATACTCATCATCTTATTTATTTTTACACCTCTATGACCTTTAGTTATTATAACAAAAAACATTTTAATCATTATATTCACTAAATCTATTGTTATTATTCGTATTACGCAACCTAGTATTATAACCTTTTTATTAACTGTGTTCGCATTTCCTCACGGAATTAGTACTTTTACGAAAACAAAATTTTCATATATATACGATTGTACGGCTTGATAATAAATTCGTTGAAAAGAGATCCCTTCGCTGAAATTCGTATCTCTTCTATTGCTATGCCTTTGAAGCCTGATGTTAAAGCCTCTAGAATATGTGGGATTACAGATTAACACTGAATTCCCGTTTGAAGTGTCAAACATGGACGATCATTGATGTTGATTAAATTCCTAATCGACTTCGCGGCTCTAAATCTTCTTCGAAGGTTTATTTAAATGTTGTATACTTACAAATTTTCCTAGAACAACCTTCTTTCATTCCAACAACGATTGATATTCCTTTTAGTCTATTCAAAAAGTAGTGTTTGTATGAACTAACGATTGTATGGTATTTGATCCCTAATTGATTGCAAATTCTAAATACGATACGTCAGTTCGTGGTCACCTTGTTCTGTTTAGTTTGAATTGCACTATTTCGAGAATTCTTGGTTAGTACAACATTTCGAACACTTCTAATCACCATTTTATCCCAGCAATCAACCGTTCCCAAAGTTTAATTTCCAAATGTCCTAAAAATTGAACTCCGTGATCCGTTCCTGTAGTTTAGGTAAGGAGTCTCTAACCGTTTGGTCATTTTGTCACACAGTATTATGAGATTTTCATATTTCTTGATTCGAAGCTGATGCGCTGTTCATGACTGAATAAAAAATTTTTTCGAATTTCATGATGTGGTTAAATTGGTTTGTCGCGATGAAGCCTGTGATCGAACAGTTAGACATACATTCAAATATTGATGCTTTTGAGGTTTATATGGAATGGTTCGAGATCTGGACTGTGATCAAGGGAGATGTTGAGGATGATAATATTGTGGCCCATTTCCTTACGTTCATCGAGAAAATAGCCTAATAAAGGCTTTTGTATTTCTACAGAAGCCTGTTCCACTTTCCTATGCAATCCTCAAGGAACTACTACTATACCAAGACTCCGTGTAATGCTCAGTAACATTATCAGTGCAGAGAAGTTACTTGCTGAAATCAAATGGTGATGTAAAAATACCGCCTAATATACCGTATTCTGAGCGTGATCCCATCAGGAACATTCCCCAAGAACCTCACGAGACGCTTAACCGAGGATTAAATATCATCGGGCAAGGTGTGTCAGAAGACACGAACCCTGACCACACAGAATCTGATGTTCGGGAATGGAAATTCATCAAAACGTTTTTGTAGCCCAAAAACATGTTGGCTCAACAAGTGGTGAGACTAGCTATGAAGGAGGGCGATTCTAGAACTCGGCTGATGAAGAATAGCCTTCCCATCCTCCCATATGGCGGCTTCAACTCTCGAAGCGTTTCGTGCCAGCAAACGCTGGTTGCCAACTGGAACCCATAACCATCCGGATAGGCCACGTGATGCCAGGATCAAGCACAAAAGCAAGTTAGAACCGACCATTCCACCTATGGACTCTCAAGACCGTGAAAAAAATGTGGAGAGTGGCTACCAACTCGAAAAACCTGTGTAGGTAACCCACCTATCCATTCATATAAGGCTCATATAGATAAACAGGACGGGAAAGCTCAAGCGTTTCAAATTAAAAGTATAAACTGCATATATACGAACGCCACGGTTTTACCGAATGAAATGGATGGGCTGCGTGAAATCAGTAACGCTAATAACACTCATCTGACAGAAATATTTGAAACATGGATATCTTCTCAATTCATGAACCAAGAGTTACCAACACTCGGGATTTCTTTGTTTTGCAACGACAAAGAACAAGAATAGATGGCGGAGCAGCCTTGTACCAGCAATTTGACTTTGAAGTACTTCAATTGCACAACCAAGAGTTTGCCAATGTTGATGAACCTGCATGGCGTTCAGTAAGATTATCTACCACCTCTAAGTGTCCAGTTGGAGTCAACTACAGGAAGCCTACTACCGACATTGAGTACGACAGCTGTATTCTGGAAGGATTATCTCTCTCCACTCGTCTCAGATTTACTCATATCTTGGCTCTTGAAGACTCTGATCTTCCCAAAGTCCATTTCACGGAACATTCGTACACTCGAAGTCAAAACTCTGCCGAGGCTCGGACCTTCAATGTTATTGAAGATCTGGGACTATGCGAAAATATGAAGTCGACAACTCGTTGGAGGAACAATCAGACGCCATCGCGCTTCGACAGGGCGTTTACGATCGAAGAATTCTTAATTGACGCCGCCGACCTTCTGACAGAACAGTACTCTCGAACATTTCAACCAATCCATACTGACTTTATCGATGAAAGCTTCATCTGTAACCCAACAGGACTCTCAGCAGTGAACTTGCGCGCTGAACTGATTTACCGGAAAAGGAAGCACCTAATAAAACACTTTACTGGTCTGGATATAGTCCATTATGCTTTACTGAGTGAAGTAGCTCTGCAAAAGCTTGGGTTGGTTGGTTAAGAGTTCACCTCAAACAACTAAGCAAATATCAAAACAGTATAGTTCAACTATTCATCCACTTTATTTGGTATAGGCGTTATATTTCCTATTATCTTATATTGAGTGTTGAGAGGCTTTGTTTGTCTGAACAAATAATCCTAAGCTCCACTATGACTGCGGGAAGGTCTAAATAGAGACCTATTCACTACTTGTCTGGTTTCTTCTATCAATAGCAAGAGGGTTACCTAGAGGCACGAAAGCTCCAACCTTAGCAACACTGCTTCGCGTGATGTTCTCACATTCGCTAGAACGAGGTGCAATATCGGAAAATTGAAAGCTGGCTCACATCACACCAAGTTTCAAAGGGTGTCGACAAAGCAAACCTTCAAGCTACCGACCGGTAGCACTTCTTTCGAGAGCCTCAAAAATTATGGATTCGCTGATGTGCGACGGTATGCTCAATTATTTACTATCCATAAACTTTTCACCCCAACAGCACCGCTTATTAAACGGTTACTTTTGAATAACCAACCTGCTGACTGCGGTGGACAGATGGACGACCATCCTTGATCGCAAGGAGGAGGTTGACGTCTTTTGCATTGACTTCTGAAAAGCTTTTGATATGGCCATTGTAGAATCCTAACTAAGGTTTGGACTGAAGAACAACTGCCTAGGTAGTTTGGATACACGCTATAACCCAGTCAAAACCAAAACATGGTGATTGAGTAAATGACGGTTCTAGATTTCATTAGAAATATAAATGCATATCACTACCTATACAAATATTACCACTCAGTTACTCAACCAATAATTGTTCAATCAGTAGCTAAATTTAAATTACAACAACTAAACAAGTTGAAAAAGAATGTAAGAAAATTATCAAGCGCAACAAACAAACGTCACTCTATTCTTTCTGGATAGACCACGTACAGATTCGTTCGAAAGATAATGTTTGGTTGCATTATAACAAAAAGTGTTTCCAATTTTGCAAGAGTGCTTCAATTCACAATCAAAAATGCACAATTCCAGCCAATGCAAACAACACAATCAAAGGGGAAAAGATATGACTGCCGCCAAGACTAAGTATCAACTAAAATAACATAAATGCAGTTAAGGAAAAACATAGAATCTCAGTGAAGGCATAAGAAAAATAAAAGAAAATATATTGAAATACAAATATTACCATCTCAAATGAAAATAAAAAAAGACCAACAAAATGTACAACTGAATGAACCAACAAGAATATTTTACAGGTGTACACATGGCGGGATTTTCACACACAAAACCTTGAAAATGGATCATCTATCAACAATATATGTCTTATCAGTAAGCTCAAACGACTGGGTATCAAATCACCTTTGACCGATTGGCTCACTTCATATCTAAAAAATCAACATTTCAAGGTCAGGGTTAACTTCACTTTCTTTCGGGCTGTGAGATGTCCTATTGGGGTTCCCCAGTGTCCAGTACTAGGACCTCTTCTTTTCTTGATTTATATAAACAATCTTTCACAGCGGGTACCGTCAGATTTACTACTTTTCGCTGATGATATGAAACTTTGGAGAGAGGTACGCAACTAAGAAGATAAATTGGCACTTCAGAAGGATCTGACTCAACTTAAAAGTTGATCAGGCGATAACGGACTTACCTTAAACTCTAAAGTGTAAAGTAGTCCATCTGAGACATGTTGCAGACCACAACTATAACTCAAGCAACTCCTCTCTAAAGGTGTCTCGATTTGAAAAAAAAATCTAAGAGTGTTGGCACCCTATGATTTGATGTCTTACGCTAACTGCAACGAAACCGTCTTCAGAGCAAACCTTGCACCAGTAAAGTTGATGCGCATTTTCGGCCAGTTCGACAGAAGAACTGTCCACATAATCTTCAACAGTTTTATTCGTTCCCACTTAGAGTACTGAAACTTAGTATTTCCTCTCTCGATCCAAAAGGATAAGGACACTCTGGAAAGTATCCAATGGCGAGCCACCAAATCACATCGGGGACTCAAATTTAAGCCTTATGAATAGTGCCTCCAATCACTGAACTTTCACCCATTAGAATACATGCGTTTCAGAGGTGACCTCATAATGGCTTACTGCATCCTAAATACTTCTGAACATCCCTTAAACACCTACTAAAGCTCAGTTCCAACGAAAACCTTAGGAGTAACACTCAGAAACTGGATGCAGAGTACAGCAGAACGGACTCTAGACACACCATCTACTCCTTAGGAGTAGTCAAGTGCTGGGATTCGCTGCCGGCTACGCTGGTACAAGAGACGTCGCAGGAGTTCTTTAAGAGAAAACTTAACATATTCTTAAGGGCTAAGAATAGTATCATACTTTGATCTACCAATTTTCTTCTTTTTCCTCTTCTACCAATAATATACATAGGTTCCTGTCTGAAAGTATTAGTGATCCATTGCTACTAGATAAGGAAGCCCGTTAAGCGAAAGCTTCTATTACGTCTAGAACCATTTGATGCTGTGATCAGATTTATGATATTATTTTACCAGATATGGGGTGTTTTCACGATTCATGAATTTCTAGTGAGATTATTAACAAATGTGTGCAAGATATATCGAGTGCATCAAGTTCTGATCAGAACTCGGATGTTATTTCATCAAATGTGGTTTATCCTTATGATTAATTTATTTTTAACGAAATCTTAATTCGATGTGGAGAACAAGCTTTAAATAAGTTAAAATCTGATTACAGTCCATGAAGTGTCGCGCCAGATGCTATTTATCCTCGAAATGGATTTGTCTCTTGTGATATCCCTAATGAATGTGACGAGTATGTTCCGAATCAGTCAAATTCTGGTCACATTTCTGATGTTATTATGTCAGATGTTGGATATTCTCACAACTAATGTATGTCGTGTAGAATGCCCAGTCAGTGGCATGATGAATCAAAAAGCACAGTAAGTTTTCCCGAAGCAGTCGATTTTCTGGCTACGAATATGTCTGGCACACGTTTGGTCTTGAACTTGGTTGTTATGGTGGCTTCTGGTTTCTTGGCTCGACGTGGTTCAGTCCTACGTCTGCAGCGCATCCTGGCCCGGAACCCTACGAACGCAATCCTCAGATTCTGGATACAAACCATTCTGGTGCGGTACGCTAACTCGAGTAACAAATAGAGCACGTTTCTCCTGGTACCATTCTACGTGAAAGACCATCGGTGACAATTCGTGGATCAACGATCGCTTCCTACAATCACACGTTTGCCGAACAGCCCCACAAAAGAAACCGCTCCGTTCTAGCGAGGAAGGGGATCATGTAGTGGCCAACTTTTATGAAGAGAACGCGATTGGTATAGAGGGAACAATTATTATTATAACCAATTGCCCTGGTACGGCCGAGAGTGGGGAGAGTCCGCTCTCCCTCTCAAAATACTGTCACACGGCCACACGTATACAGCCTCTGCCAGGGAAGTCCTACTCATTGCCTTCTCGTGGCGGGGGTGTTGTTTACGAAAAGGAGAGGACGAAAAGCGAATGTCCGGCTCCTTAACCGGATCGCAAACTAATGGTGCACATGGGCTCCAGTATCCTGAGGGAACAAATGGCGTATGAACCAATCGTTGGTCACCGGCTACCATGGGATTGCATCTCCTTACGATGCTCCACTGCCTTGTGGGTTAGACCTTTAGGTCAAAGGCTCAGGGTGTGGGCCCCTAAGATAATCACCTGCTTCGATTTGGGCACCCAGGCAGTATCACAGCCCACACACAAATGATGAACTCTTTAGGTCTATGGAAATTACTTTTCGGTCGGACTGTCATGCCCTCCATGGCCGGTGACGACTGATCCACCACATGAGGCGGAAGTCGGCAAGGAAATCCAACTCTTGAAGGGTTACAAATCACCTGCCTCAGCTCTAGCGCTTAGTGCGACACCGACGCCAGCAAGACCAAAGGAAGATGACACAGGGTCCCCGGATAAGCGCACGTAAAACAAGCTTTTCGAAGCGACAGATGGAGATCGAATTTGTAGTACTTCACTACAGTCTTGAATACGAGTCTCAAATGGACAACAGACGTCGATATTAAGACTTTCCAAAGACATAGCCAGCCCTATCTGTTGTCCGACCTGCATAAATGTGCGAACGTTGAAGGCAGCCAGTTTGAATGGTGCACGTGGTTTCAGAAAAACTGCTTCAGTTCTCGTATTCGGTGGTAACATACAATTTTCAACCGGACAGTGACTCGAGAACGTTTAGATACAGTCGAATTTCCACTAAAGATGAGCCGCTGTATAAGTATAAAAGAGGGTGAATAATGTGGAAAATAATAATAATAATAATAATAATAACAGTAATTGTAATGATAATAATTTGAATCAATTGATTGTTTATCGAAGCAAGAAAAGTAATTTCCATAGACCTAAAGAGTTCATCATTTGTGTGTGGGCTGTGATACTGCCTGGGTGCCCAAATCGAAGCAGGTGATTATCTTAGGGGCCCACACCCTGAGCCTTTGACCTAAAGGTCTAACCCACAAGGCAGTGGAGCATCGTAAGGAGATGCAATCCCATGGTAGCCGGTGACCAACGATTGGTTCATACGCCATTTGTTCCCTCAGGATACTGGAGCCCATGTGCACCATTAGTTTGCGATCCGGTTAAAGAGCCGGACATTCGCTTTTCGTCCTCTCCTTTTCGTAAACAACACCCCGCCACGAGAAGGCAATGAGTAGGACTTCCCTGGCAGAGGCTGTATACGTGTGACAGTATTTTGAGAGGGAGAGCGGACTCTCCCCACTCTCGGCCGTACCAGGGCCTTTGAAGGCCCAATATCCTGCGTCTAACCTCACTATTACTTACCCGGTGATCCCAGCAGATGCGAGCAATATTTCTAAGACATCTGTGATCAAATACTAGTAACTTACAGGTATCCTGCTGCACAGCATACTCGTCCCTTTATTGATAGACAGATATCTCGCCTTCGCGATAAGTGACGTAAATTGGCAAAAACCAAAAGCGGTTTCTGAGTCCGTGTAGATATTTCGTCAGACACCAATCAATTAGAGTTGTTCAGACTTTTAAGATAAGTGAAGTTGTCGACGCATCCGACTACTTCACTCCCTATCCTTAGTTCAGGTGTTGATGCAGGCCAGTTCTGAAGCAACAACTCGCATTTAGAGGAGGAGAAACGCATCCCAAACATCCTGGCATTGTTGCTCAGAGCCACCAAAAGACTTTGCATCTTGTCAGAATCTTCATTAAACAAGACTATATCATCTGCGGTTCATGAGTCTTTGTTGGGCGCCTGATAATTATTGAGGCTGGTATTTTATATGCTATGTTAGTCAAACTAATCCCTCTATGGTTATCACAGGATGATTTTGACCCCTTCTCATACTTTGGGACAATCAGTGATTGCGACCGGTCAGATGGGATTACGTCCAACTCCCAGATTTTAGCTCAAATATTAGTCTACCTAATCGCTCATCGTTCTAAACGTCTGAGCTGAGAGCAGATAAGAGTGTCGTCTTTTTCCGAGATAATATCACTTACAACTGACTTCTTAATTTCAGTTTCTTTTACTAGTCTGAAAAGCTGTCTGATGTTACCTACAGCCGTCGCCTTTTCTATATTTTTACTTTCGTTGCCAACCACTGCTCAAAGGTCGTTCCTTGGACTTTTGGTTAACCAAGATCTGATTTGTTTTCACTCTTTATCGTGATCGGAGACTGATGGGATCAGTTTAATAGAATCTATCAGTGCAACAGATGCCACAGTTCACTGGTTTCTGGTAATCCTTTAGTTCAAATCAATAATACATGTCGCTGCTGTTTCCACAATTGTTCGTATATCTTTCTGTTAGAGGGATATAGATTGGATTAAAGCATGTCCCATGCGTCCAGTAAGACTCAAACAAATATGCGCTCGTATTAGAGTATGATCAGAGTCTGAACATGTATTCCGGAACGAGCAACAGTCTTCCAGCGAGCCTTCCCCAACGATGACTGATGACAATGTGGTATATTTAAGTCCATCATTAGTTTGGTACAAGAGGACGACATGTTACACGATGTCTCTCCTTATGCTTAAAATTAGTGCTTATTAGAAAAAAAAAAACGATTGCCTGAACACATTTGCAGAAGACGATCACCATTATCTGTTCGCTGAGTCGGAATACTGAAATACCCGCCTAAATATCTTTTTGTTTGTTTCAAGCTACCTATGTGAGCATTAAAGTCACCTGCTATGAGCACTATGTTTGAGTGTTTAGATTTTTAAAATGGTTCAGATAGCTTTCTGTAAAAGTTATCTTTCATTTCTTCCGTGCTGCATACAGTAAGAGCGTAAGTGGGAACGACGAAAAGGCAACAACGTGTGTCCCTATCCTTTCGAATTCTTTCGGAGCCGTTTAACCAAACAGCACATAGGCAACTATCAACAGGGATCTATTCTAACAGTTATTCTGCCCTCATAATTAGTGCTATGCCTACACACTCCAGTCAACTAGAACTAGCCATCGGATTGCCAGATAAAACGGAGGGTGTATCTCGTCGGCTCCCTGTTTTGGATAAATGAGGTCAAGTGAATGATCACACTACGATCCTGTATGTGTGATTCATAGACACAGTATACATAAATGGTACGAGATTCTAGGGTCTTAGTCAATAAGGCCTGCTGGCCAACTGGACATAGGGTACGTATGTTGAAGGCTCCAATGTGTAGTTTGGTACGAAGTCTCAGTAAATTGGGACAGTATTCCGCGCATTAGGATCGTTGGCCATGGTAACACTTGAGGAAGAAGTATAGAATTGATAATTGAGGTAGGGTTAATAACAAGAAACGAAGAGGGAAATTGAACATGATTACAGTGGTCTTGAGTGCTGTTAGAGGTATGAGGGCGGTTATCACTCCTCGGTTGTCCATACCAAGGAAGGGTTCTTTAGAAATACCTATAAAAGAAATCGGGTTAGTCTTGGTGACCTGAGAGCGTGACCGCAGTGTGCAAGGGTCAATTGCTTTAGGCCGGTCACACGCGACATTTTTGTAGGTAATTTTTGTTTTAGCTCCGTACTTGGTGCAACCGTACCGCTGGAGACGGATAGCCGTCGGATAAAGCGCACTGGGTAACTGTTTGGTTCTTTTTGAGAACTCAACAGTGCCAATTCATGACCTTCGTGTTTCACTACGAGGACCATATTTTTTTACCACCGGCAATTAATTTTGTGAACTTTGATTGTGAAAACAATAGCAACACTACTAACGCACGAATAGATACACAAAGTAGAAAAATATGCAAACTTATTTCTCCCACTCCCATGTAAATAATTTATTGAGTTCCATTATTTTCTTACCAACTTTTTTGTTACCAAAAACCACTCTATCAAATTCTACAAATCTTCGACACAGATCGATTTCATTTAAGGTACCATGAGGTTGTATCGTTTGAGGATGATTCAGAAATTCTAAAAAGTAGGCGCTCTCTACGAGTTTTCACGATTCTGGGCCCGATCCCTGATGGAACTGTGGATATGTACTACTAAAATAGTCCCATACTAGGATAAAACAAATGTTCAATGTTTCTCGGTTCTCAGTAGTACCCTGAATGAGATCAATCTGTGATGAATATAAGCTATAAATCAGCCGTCAGTCAAATTAACAGTTTATACAATACGTGCAGAAACACACAGACACATTTATGTAAAAGAAAGATAAGAGCTTTAACTCACCTGACTTATTCTTTGTAACATTCCGTAGCTAAACTTAACCCATGTGCACTAGCCCAATCACTTAAACACAAATGAATCCAATCATGTAAGGATTTACCCCATATAGGTGAAATGTGAATGGAATTATTAATTAATTAATTTTTTTCACAATCATAGCCAATAATAAAATTGAATAGTCGTGCATTTAAACGATGTAATAAATGTGCAAATAATTGAACAATGAAAGCTGGGTTCACATAAACTGAATGAAGACAATTTATTATTTCACTAAGTATTTTCAGTGTTGTATTATGCTAAAATAAAAAAGCGAGAAATACAATGATATTTGTTTGTAACAAGAAAAACAATGTTTGATTATCAACATCGATTATAGAGCATCAATAAGAAGAGGCGGATTACACAAGATGATGTGATAATATATTAAGAATACATAAGAATGAAAATGAATTTCCCAGCAGAATCGAAGAACAAGGATATAATATGCGGTGGACAAAGCAATTCGAGTAGGTACAGATTTAAAACAAACTGCTTTTAGTTGCATAGTGTGAGTTGAACAATATATGGGAAAGTTTTATATCAGTGTCGATATAACTGGAATATGAGGGGAAGTAATTAGCAATGAGACACTATTCAACCAATAAACAGGCAGCAAATATGAATAATTAATCATGATAAGTTAAGAATTTAGGGTCAGAGTTGGAATTAAGATAAAGTCTCACGGTTAGTATATGTGTAACATGTTCTAAAATCTTACCTATGACTCTATATCTGAAACAGTACACAATAATTTTGAACCATGAACTTTAAATATACATCTTAATACTAACTTTTAGTATCTAGTGTTGTTGTCGTTACTGAAACTAATCTCCTACGTTTGATGGACAATGTTATGACCTTGAATCGATTTTACCCTGTCGATACTTTGTTATGACTTGGCCCTGATCCGTCTGGTCTAGATTACGACCTTGGCGCGATAGGCTGAGCGGCTTAACCTTGAGTCTAGTACGCGTGAGTTCGAGATGGGGTAGAACCTGACTGGCTGGCAAGCACGCAAGTGAGAGAAGACAAGACAGTTGGAACACTCCGAATTCTGAATTCGGATTAGTGCAAAAGTGTACATGGATAAATAAGTGAATATCCTGACCACAACGTACGATAATTTGGGAAAATACAATTATGCCCGAAACTGGGAATTAGGATAGAAAATAAGGTACAAAATATTATGTTTAAATTACAATAGTTTCGGAACAAAAAAGGGGTATGGCAGTGACTGATACATCGAACGAAAGCTCATGTTCTGTAGAACAAAATAGGGATAAAAATAAATATAAGTGTTTTACAAGGTTTGAATAAAATGAAATAACGTCCCAAGAAATAGCTTTCGTAGTTTGTCTGGGCTTCTTATTTCCCTGTTCACAACAGACAACATTCAGGTTTGATATATGGGGAGTGACTTAAAATAACAAATATTCCAGCCAATACAGCTCGACTGGTTCATCACAATGTACAAGCCTGATCACCAAATACATCTAGGTAGCAACTACGGTGGATGATTCAATATAACATAATTCCTAGCTATAATTTGGCTGATAACAAAAACACTGTGACGACTATACTTGCACATTTCATGCATTAAATTTGAAAACAAATGATTTTCAACAATTTAAACTTTATCAGAAGTACATAAACTCATACACATATATATGTGAACAAATTATACAACATTTAGTGGCCCGTGGATCTGACTCCAAGATCGTACGAATGATTGTTATCGCCTATGCTCGTATACAATCGTCGACTTGAATCGCGTTAGTCAATAACGGAATTGAAGAAGTCGAATAACGAGAATTGACTCGAGAATACATATATTTTGTATATGAAGCGAACGAAACATAGCAAAGCAAAATGACACGCAGGGAGGATGGCTGGGAAGCCAACTCCATTTTAGTCAAGCGTTACTCAATACTTATAGTCAGACAAAATAAAGCTACAGACATGTGAATAATATGATAAGAAGGGCACACACATATACGCTAATATAAAAACAGTCTAGATTGATAAGCGAATGATTGACAAGGTCAAAATATGACTTGATTAGAACGAATAAAATGAGATGTCCGAAAGCTAGAATAAGGTATATGGGCTTGGCACAATAACTGACACTACAAACACTACTAATGAATAATCATTTTAACATATGTATAACACAATAAAATGTTAATTTTCATTATGTAAACTGAGAAAGAATATAGTTCTTTGGAGTGAAGAAGATAAAGAAGTGAATGACTGATATTTTTATACTTATTGTTTTCGGTAAGTAGAATCAGACAGGAAGGAAAACAATGAAAATATCGACTATTGTATGTACTTATACAAGTGTGCATAGTATGTACATGTACACGTGTATGTTGTTACTTGAAAGATGACATAAAAATTGTCTATAAAATTCATTTAAATAAGTAAATATACACAAACATAAACACGTACAATGATAAAATAAGGATTGCAATTTCTAAATTATTGATCACATTAATAAAATTTACTTAGTTTTGTTCAAAACAATTCAAGAGTTATAGAAATGTTTATCGTTAAAATAGTTTTAGGAAATAAAACTTGGTTACGAGTCAGTGCTTATTTAAAATAGACATAGCTTAATCTTACAAGAATTTGGTAAGTTTCATTACAAATAGATCAGTAGTAATATCTTCAATGGAGATGCGAGTTTCCGTCTAATATGAAATATTATTTTTGCTCTTAAGAGGACTTTTTGTTAATTGCTTCGTACCTTAAACCACAAAGAAATATTATGAACAGTTCCATTTATAAATCAAAAAAAGTAATAGGTTTACAGCGAACACTTCGATAAAAATAAGTAAGCAGCCGTTTAATTCAACTTTCATGTTATCACAAAAGTACGAGTCTTTTATAAACATTACTAAATTCATCAACTCATAATAGGAAACCGATTTCTCCATCAGTCATTTACAATGTAGAACCAGGCACATATATGCGCCGGTCTAAGTTGCCATACCTCATCAGAGCAACAAGATGAACACCAAATTCATAGAAGCAGTTACTTCAATAGTAGTAATATGTATTTTAACAAACGATTGTATATAGGGATATGACACAGAGAGAAAGGATTAGTTCGTAGAAAGATGTGAAGTAATTTTAATCGCACGATTTAAGGGAAGACAAAGAGTGTATACACCGACGCAATTATGATCGATTCTGAGCTATGTCACCAAGAGTCCCCAACCATTGGTTACGATAGTCACGTGGACCCCAACCGAGTAGTCTGCATCCACCAATATTAGTTAGACGTGATAAACTGTTTATGGTGGAAAACTAGTCTATTTTGAATACCGACCATTCATCAGTCATTCATGTGGCACATGTGACCAAAAGCCTAGGTTGCCGTATAATATCATTATGGTGATAAAATGTTAACACGATGAGTTGTACAATATAAAAAAGTCGAAGTATTGTTAATATCAATGATCATAGGATAGGGAATGAGAAGTATTGAGCACATACAACAGTCATAAAAAACAGCACGATGAATTGTATAGTGCGTCAATAATTTGCACAATATTTGGGTGTGTATTTTGACAAAAGGTGAATATAAGCTTCAAACTACCTTTTAAATTGCCACTATTTTTTAAAAAGTTGAAATTAGAGGAATCATAAATAAATGGAACGACTAATCAACTATTAATATTTATCTTAGTAACATAAAACAAGAACCATGATTAAGGATTTGGATTATTTTTTCTGGTTAGCAGATGATCTGGCCCTTCTATCGCACACACAAAAAATGCAGAAGACGACCAGTGTAGCAGCAGCCTCAGCAGCAGTAGGTCTCAATATACACAAAGGGAAAAGCAAGATTCTCCGATACAACACAACATGCACCAGTCGAATCACACTTGACGGGGAAGATTTGGAAGATGTAAAACCTTTACGTATTTGGGCAGCATCATTGATGAACAGGGTGGATCTGATGCAGATGTGAAGGCGCGGATCGGCAAAGCAAGAGCAGTACATTTACAACTGAGGAACATCTGGAACTCAAAGCAACTCTCAACCAACACCAAGGTCAGGATTTTCAATACAAATGTCAAGACAGTTCTACTGTATGGGGCAGAAACCTGGAGAACTACAAAAGCCACCATCCAGAAAATACAGGTGTTTATCAACAATTGTCTACGCAAAATACTTCAGATTCGTTGACCGGACACTAGTATCAACAACTTACTGTGGGAGAGAGCAAACCAGGTCCCAGCGGAGGAAGAAATCAGGAAGGAGCGGTGGAAGTGGATAGGACACACATTAAGGAAAGGCATCCAAATGCGTCACAAGACAAGCCCTCACATGGAATCCTCAAGGCCAAAGAACACATTACGCTGAGAAATGGAGGAAAATGAACAGAACTGAAAAGGAAGGTCCAGAACAGAGTGGGTTGGAGAATGCTGGTCGGCGGCCTATGCTCCATTGGGAGTAACAGGCATAGGTAAGTAAGTAAGTAATGATTAAGAAAGAACGAAAACTAGATAAAATTATGTCAATAATTGTTGCGTGTGTGTTACTTTCTGTTCTGCCTTTCTATCGTTTTGTTCGGCTGACGAGTAACATACATAGAATGAAAAGTGAATCTTGTACCCTAACTGCCAGCTTCAATTCATCTATCCTATATATATGTAAAAAGAACTCACTTTACTACTAAACACTTCACTATATTGTTGTTGCTTCTCTGAACAATGACGATTCGAAGTGATCCGTGCTCTTTCATTCATTTCGTTTAATTCGACAGAACTGTTATTATTAATATTATCGTCCAGTGATTGTTAATCAGGGAAACAGCAGTCAGGTGAATCATTAGATGTGTTACTATCAGTCGCACAGTTTTCATGATGATGATTTGATAAAATTTGTACAGATTTAGTCAAATACAATAATAATTGTGGTATCGCAATTAAATCTAATCGAAGTACACAAAGGTCAGCTAAATAGATAAATGCAGTTTGGACGATTTCAGCCAATTGTTCTTTCAACTGATCCCATGACGTAGTAGCAGTATTTGACAATTTAACAGCGTTATTATCATCATGATCGAATGTATCAGGACTCCATTGGCACAGTTCGTCAACAGACAACTTTATACAATAGTAAAAAAGGATGAGATGAATGATGATATATTGGGAGAATATACAATGAGAAAAAAATTAAGTGCTCATTCTAGGTGGTTAGAGGGAGTTAGTAGGAAATATTGGTTGACCTACGGGATTCTGTGCAAGTTATTAGCCGTTAGCATAGTGTACTTGCACTACTGAAGTGATAGCCTTTACTAAATTTGAATCTGGGTCACTAAGTTTCATAGTCTGAGATGTTGCCAGTGAGTTATCTAAGCTACAGTTGAACTTCTGTAGCATAAAGATAAATATAACCGATTGATTATTACATGGTAACATTCAAAACCTGGAAGCACTAGACGACCGTTTCAGTCTAACATCAATCGGTTCATGATCTCAATGAAAAAAAACAAACGTTTATTTAATTCAAAGTAGCCAAAATATTTAGTCAGAAATAAGACAGTTTAGACAACCAAACTATTATAAAAAGTTAATTATTTCGAAATATAGATGATGAAAGCTATTAGAAATATATCAAAACGTTATCTTATGTTCAGATCTTATTTACTATTCTTGGTAGAACGCAACTCACCATCAGATAGTAAAATTATCCGAAATACGTAAGATGATAATTCTCAAAGCTAACTAAAACGTCAACGGTAATGCTCACGACCATCTTTCATTGCCTACAGTGGGTAGTTATCATATAACCGAAATTGATTGCGGTTTATTATTAGAATTGGAATTCGCTCTCAAAGTTGATCACCAATGAGGTCATTATTATTATTTTTTATTGAAACCATGAACTGATCAAAGTTAGACCACCATTGAAAACCTGGCAGCACTGGACCGCCGTTTCATTCTAGTATGGGACTCCTCAGCGGTGCTTAACTACGATCCTGCATGTAGAGTTCGAACCCGGGACCTTAGATCTCGCGCGAACTCCAGGCCATTGAGCAGGCATCCAAAAGTGTTAATGTCTACATTTGTGGTCTAAAAATGATCGGTTCATGATTTCAACAACCTCCAGAACCCCTTATTAACAATTATTATGTGAAATTATAGCCACAGAGTAGGCTGTTGTCCAGTATATTTGTCCTATAGCCGGTAGAAGAATATATCTCCTACATTAAAAGCGACACAGACTGACTACCAACCCGTTGAGGCTGCTGAAACTCTCAAGACACAGATCAGTCCTGAGGTAATATCTTCCATTTAGAAGGATCGAAATGCATTCGGAACATAAGTACTTATGGAGAAATTGAGTAAAAGCATAAATAGTGGGGAGTTTCGACGTACTCTTGAATTTCACATGAAATATATTCTATCACCATTGTGATTTCATCTCTGATACGAATTATATCTTTCATTCTACTAATAACTGGTTTTATATCGTTAACACTTTTTCTAGAAATTTCAAGTTCATTTTACTAAAATAAAGACAAAGCCAAGTCCAAGCTTAAAAAGACGATGTTTTTTTATAAAAAAAACATATATAACGCTCTTTGACTTTTACGGACATTTTCAATTTAAATTCTACCAAAAATAATTCATTATACTTAAGAAAAACAAACCAATTCTTCTTCAAATTTTAAATAAATGTATATATACGTTAAGTGTGAGAGAGATGGATTAAAATAAAATAAGGCGAGCAAGTAAGTGAACAGACGAAATCGACCGTGTGCATAAACCAATAACTCCACACGGATAAATACACACATGAGAGAGAGGTACGGTAGACTCTACCAAAAATGTAGGGAAACACTATGTCGTGAGTCGACAAAAAATCTAGAAATCAAAATTAACTTCAAAAGAGGTACATTCAAGCATTTGTTGGCAGTAAGATGATGATGATGATGGAAAAACAACTAGTACATATTTAGTGGGGTAGAGTGAGTTGATAGATCATTTTGTACAGATACAGAGAGAGAAAACATCCGCTGGATAACCATACATATCATAATCTAAATGAAAGAAAATTTAACGAGACCTAATAAGAACATTGAAGGAAAATGAATACATGAAGGCGAAAATTTTCTTTTAAAAAAGAACAATAAATGATTGATGGGGTGATAAATGAGTTTATTTTGCAATTTTTCTTTCCATGTATCTATGTTTGAGTGTGCATGAAGGTATATGTGGTACCAACCGGTTACAATGCATAGTATATAAAAGCTACTTATTCATCATTTTGAGTATCTAAATTACCATTTGTCAATTTATTTATTCTGTGTTTGTTTGGTCGTAAAATTCTCAGTAGACGAAAATAATAATGACAGTATTAACAGTAAATTACTAAACATAAAGACGTAAAAGACATTAATTTACAAATGAAGGACTAACATAAGTTCATGTACATAGATATTTGTGCAACTGTGCGTGAAAAACTCTTACATTTGACTAACGAAATAAATAAATAAATAATAATAAACGTGGTAATGGATAACTATTGGATATTACGTCATAAGGAGCATAAAACGACCTCTTAAAAACCCACAACTTTTAATTGATTTTAATAGTTGGATTCATGAGTCAATCTAAGCTAGGCCGCCATTGAAAACGACCGTTCAGTGCTTCCAAGTTTTCAATGGTAGTCTAGCTTAAATCGACTTATATATTCAACCATTAAAATTACTAGCATCTTCAAAAATCTTCCATTCTCAATTGGCTGTACAAAATTTTTGTATGAATGACCCACTGTTGTATAATTTAAAAAATGAGACCCAAACTAAATACTGTTTGAAATGGAAATTTTAAAACGAAGAACAAGTGTAAACAAGAAGTGAATGGATAGGCAGTGAACACGTAAAAAACAAAACTTCTAATGAATTATTCATCAATGACATTAAAAATAAGATTTTTAATCGTAATATTATGTTGAAAAACAATAATACAATCAAAAGCCGGTAAAAGTATGCTATATTGGGGACCTTGAGAGACTTACCAGCAAATCAGGAAACGCTACGTACTTGTAAGACAAAAAACGACGAGACTATAATATATGGACGAACTAATGGCTAATGATTTTGACAAAAAAATCACTCCTGTTTAGAAATTTGAGAAACTCAGGGTCGAGATTTAAATTAAAAAGGGTAAGATGGTAGGAAAATTGTCTTGCCTCACTAATCAATTTTGATTCCGCACTGAACGACATCAAGTGCTTTAACACACAATATGCCTCAGGAGTAGGTATGTTCTACAATTCATTTCTTCGTTGTGTAGATATTTCCATTGATTTCAAACATCTTAAAAACCAAATATTACCAATTTTCACTTGGTTACTACATTTTTTTATTTACCACTCCACTTTAAATTTCGTGCAAAATATGTAAGTTGTTTAAATTCTGATTATTTAACTACCGGGCTGTCAGTATACCATACTTTTGCCCACAAAAAAAGCAACATATCGTGACTTGATTGGTCGATAGTCAGCCAATCAGAAGTATGGGGTTGCACTTGTTTTCTCAGGAAAAGAACCAATAATAGATTACACCGGGTCTAATGGATAACACTGACTGGTTTGATGACAGAGCACACTATCCTGTAGGATTATTCAGATTGTTTTATAGCATGAAAATACACCTGATAAGCCATTAGGATTAGAGAGCGATACTTAACTAAGTAGGTTTCCATGACTAAGGGTTTACACATGAATTAGCGTGGCAGTGAATGTACTTCTCAAAGGCTTATGATCGATACTTTGAAATGACCAGAATGTAGTAATTGTTTACAGAGAAACATGAGGAGACTATTGTACACAGGAAGACCTTCGTCAATAAACTTGGATAGTTGACAGAAAATAGACTTTTCAATTCAACAGTCCAAAAAAACTGCTAATTGATGAACAAGTGAGAAACGCACAAAACACGACACTGAATTCCTTAATATTTAATATCTGGATTTATACGTGCATGTTATAAATATCAAAACAAAACATGAGTTATTTCATTACAACGCATCTATCTAAACACTTGAAAAATATCAGTTTTGATGCAATTATTTTTTGAGTTAACAAAAAAACATACCTTGAAAGTTGCATTGAAATCAATATCACAATAGATTAGATGAAGTAACTGACTAGCATTAGCTAACCAAGCTGTGACAGATTTTATCAGACCAATAAATTTTTGGTCTACATCACTCAACAAAGGCGGTGACAATGATTTCGTTGTTGTTGAATATTTGCATTGAATTTCTGTAATTGAGTAGTCTAAATCAATTCTTTTTATGGATTCATATATATACAATTCAAAGCTATGAAATCTATTAACAGCGTTCATTAATAGACTCAGCAAATGATGTTGTCTACGTTTGAGTTGATTTAAGGTCAACTGATTGTTATTTGTCTGTAAAAATAATGAGGAAAAAGAAAAAAAGAAATATGTTAGTGACAAGAGTTAGATGGTAACATAGATAAGAACATGTTGCCGCACTATTTTCTGGGATGGCATTTTTCTTTGTAGGAATGCGGCAGTATCATTGTAGATAATAGTTGTATAAGCGGAACCCATACTGGTGACAGTAAAATTTTGTCATCGGACTGTTTGCCAATTTAATCTTAATGACCTCAAAATAAACTGCTTCTTATGGTGGAACTCAAGTCAAATTTACCAGCTAATATGCCTGGATGAGGTCACCACAATGGGCAGACGCGACCACCACATCAAGATGGAAGCTATAGTTGGGAGATAAACAAGGAATGTGACAAGAGCTGAATAAAATGTGATGGCAGTTTCTGAAGATATGTACGCATAAACATGCAAAAAAAATTGATTGGCAATACTTAAAAGAATTTCATATCATAAATGAGGCAGAACTCAATAAGAGAACAATACAGGATAAACTTATCAAGGAATTATTTACATTATTTTTTAGTAAATCGTTGTTTTCCTCGGTTGTTTTATTACTAACTACTTTCGGATCCGAGTTTTTTGCCAACTGTTTCAACTCAGTTGTTTCCCAACGATTACACTGCCGACATATAGCTCGTAGCATTAAATAAACACACATAACTGGACCTAGAGGACACAGACCAATAGTTACATCGGATTGATTATTATTATTATTATTAGTAGTAGTAGTAGTAGCAATAGCAGTTGTTGTTGTGGTAGTAGTAGTATGATGATGATGAGAGTTTCTTAGCTGATGTACAAATTTTAATTGCTTAATAATAATCCAATCTAATAATTTTTCCAAAGTTGTAGGAGCAAATGCCACAAGGTAAATGATCAGAAACGGCGGCTGTCGTACGAGTTGAACCTGGCTTGTTGTTATGAATAGGTGGATAAGTTTTTGTTATTACTGAAAAAAGAATGATTAGGTGAAAGGCATTGTTCTAGAAATTTCGGAGAGTTACAGAAAGTGTGTAAAACACAAAAGGTTAGTGTAAATCCAATATATAAAACTGTACCAAAATTCCTTATACATGAAAATTGTGTGATTTATGTGATTTACCTAGAATATTATTTATAAGTAAATATTATCTCAGCAAACTATTTCTTTTATGTCTTTTTTAATTAATTAATTAGGAGCTATTTAGCATCATTGGAAATCAGAGCGTAGGAATTCTCAGTAGTGAGTATCCACGATCCTACAAGGGAAAATTTAACTTTAGTAAGCTCAAAGGAAAAAATCCCACTTATGTCAGCACAGAATTGTGTCGAAAATTAGGATTATGATGCCGTTATATTGGAGAGTCATCTAGTGAAATCTTGACCTAAACTGGGAAAACTCGAAATTAAACAGGCATGCCATTTCCAACAACTATCAAATCGATATAAAAAACATCAAAATAACACAAAAAGGATTTTTTAACTACAAAGAAAAGCGAGTAGTTGACGTTTTCCATTTATTGCTTAATCCTAATGCTCTCAATAGAAAAGAGGGTCTCACTATCCATCCAACTTGGACCGTCTCTCCGAACTACTATGTCTGATTACATTCATATTATCGTATATAAAAATTAAGCTCTTTCCTTTCTCATTACAAAAGTTACATTCTTTTTTATCCTTTACCATACACACACCCACACACGAACATGCATCATATAAATCACGTTGACCGGGTTGACATGACATTGACTTGGTCAGACCGGTTTTTGATTGATCGCACCTAATATTCTTGCCTTGTACTAATTAAAGTTGGGTTGATTTTGGTTATTCTCTGTGTTAGGATAGTCGGAAAAATATACCAATAATTGTCGTGTTAAGTCTATGGTGGCCTTGGACCTTAAATGTACATTTCTTATTGGTCGATGTTTATTTCACTTGTTAAATATTTTGTAAATGTTGTTTCCTATTTTATGGTACGATGTGGTGTGCTTGACTGGTATATAAACAAAGTATGTCTGAAATACAATGATTCATAACTCAGAGGCTGTGACTTGCGTTCTTGACTCAACTGGCTGGGACAGACTGCGAAGCGGAACCAATCAGGGCACTAGGTCGTCCACTACATGTTTTCCGTGTTACTGTGATCGATCGATAAAAACACTGCTTATCAAACCCCTGCAGTCTCACACACGTTACAACACTCTGAAGAAGTGGCTTACATTGAGTCACGAAACGTCAGGGAATTCGATTTTTCAACTTATCAAAACAATATAAATATACTATCTTTATTTATAACATTTTCAATTGTATAGTACGAAAACTAGTGACTTGTGTTAGACAACGCATTAAAAACTAAGAAGTACTGAACAGCCGTTTCATCTTAGTATGAGACTCCTCAAAAATGCGCATCCACAATTCCATTAAAGACTGAACCCAGGACTTCTAAGACTCGTTGGGAGAGTTGAGTTGCAGTCCAATGGTTGAATATTTCAAACTCGAGTCCATTCAATATATATCATACTATCAGTGTTGGTATATGATTTACCTTCAAAGTGAATAAAAAGAACTAGTAGTTGCGTTAAAAGTAGTAGTAAGAAAAGACTACGTAAAAACAATATGAATTGAGATAAATTTTCTGAATAAAAAGTATAGGATAATTTTAAAAGACATGGTCTAGAGCAAGAAAAAGAATAAATTGAATATGAATGAATGTCTGAATATGAGATATGTTAACCAACACCTTCAACTATTGGTCATAAGATAATTCTGAAGATTCTAACCAGGTTGTCTGTACCCACCTTAATCACTGAGTTCAGAATACATGGTTGGGGTACAAGTGATTACAATCAGTAGGAAAACGTTTAAGAAGTCGATGATATTTTCAGTTTATCAGTATAGGGTTGTGGAAATTGTTGAGTTTCATTGAAATCATGAATCGATCAACGATGGACTATCAATAAAGACCTGAAAGTTTAGTTTGAGACACTTATCAGTGAAGTTTCCATAAACACTAACTCGCAGCACAGTAGTCGAATGAATATCAATAAAAATTCACTTCTAAAGGTTTATAACAGTTCAATTTGTTTATGAATAAAATGAAACACAAAACACTAAAGATATCTACAAAGTAATGCAATTAAAGAGGAAAAAAATCGAAGAACTATGAAGAACAAGTAGAATTTGTAACTTTGCAAGAAGAACAGCTATGAGATACAAAACGGGTAACCTGAAAATTTTAAAGTTCAGATACAACTCTACTAACAGTAGCGTTCAACAACGATCTAACGATTCAACAAAAATGTACACAGAAAAACAGAATTGCTTACTCAACAAAGCACATTTTATCTAAAATAATTTGACCAGATCTACAAAATATCAGCAAGTCATATAATTTTATAACATCCTGTTATATATTTAAGATATACTCACAGTTGAGCATTGATTCATAAAGCACTCATATTCATATATGTAGCTATTTTTCATCGCGCTACATCTGAGAATTATTGAGGTTGAAGTTGTTCTATTCGAAGGCTACTCAGTGGTTCTTATCGTTGAAGACTCGTCAAAAAATGAAAAGAATTAATCCAAACCATGGTGAGGTCATGGGTGCACACTGCTGAACAATCCCATAACAGAGAATAAAGTAGCATTCGTTCACGTATAACAATGGCAGATACATTAACTAATAACTATAGATACAGCGTAATCAGTTAGTTAGGAGATAAGAAGAAACTTACATCACTTAACATAAATATGTCTCAGTCAGTTATATTGTTAAGGATAAGTGTACTATTAATTGGAAATTCAACATAGTTCAATTTTTAATTTTTATTGGTAACTTTGAATCCTTATTTTAGAAAACTTTCCCACCGACATAATATATTCATATGGTGTTTTCTTTATGGTTTGAGCAACTTTTATCATATAATCTCCTATTTATTTGCTAAATACTTTCGCAGGATATAACCAACATAAATAGAGAAACATGACACTGATGTAGAATTCAGATGCTGTGATGTTGTAAATGATAAACGAATAGATTTAGAGAGCAGAAAGAGAGAGAGAAAACCATGAGAGAAAAACTAGAGCGAAAAATAAAAAGAATGAAAATCAGTAGTATTTCACAGAGAATAATGGATAAATAGTTATGATCATAACAATAAAGATGGGTTGTAACTAACAAAGGAATTATTTTATTTTATTTGAACACATAGATATTGGTATAGGGAGGCACCAAATACATATGCGTCACACAGATCTCATTTGATGTGTGAGGGCTGTGATGCTGCCCACTGAAGCAGGTGGTTTCCTTGGGGGGCCACACCCCGAGCCGTTGACCTAAAAGTCTAACCCACAAAGCAGTGGAGCATCATGAGGAGATGCAGTCCCATGGTAGCCGGTGACCAACGATTGGTTCATACGCCATTTGTTCCCGCAAGATACTGGAGCCCATGTGGACCGTTGGTTCGCGATCCGGTCAAAGCGCCGGGCACTCGCTTTTTGTCCTCTCATTTTCGTAAACAACACCCCCGCCACGAGAAGGCAGTGAGTAGGACTTCCCTGGCAGAGACTGTATAGGCGTGGTAGTGTGAGAGCATTTCGAGAGGAAGGGCGGGCCCAGCCCACTCTAGGCCATACCAGGGCATTTAGGGCCAACAATATAAAACGTGTATCCTAACAAAGGAATATAGGATGCACGTTTTATACTGTTCAGGACTCATCAGCTGGATGTGCCAGAGTTGAGAAACTGGAATTCCCAGATATTTATGTAACTTAGTACACGATAAGTTGATGGAGGAAAGTACTTGTTCTAGTACTGAAGTAAACATTAACATTCGGAAAGAGGGACAACCAGCGAAACGAGTCCTAGATGAGACGAAACTTTTTTCTGAATAATAATCCTATTTCATAAAACGTACGATAAAATGGTTAAATAGAAGCGATTCGTACAGGGTATACAAGCTTAATCGAGATTCAATCGCGAATCTGAACAACAGCACAACTTAAACTTTTACATATCTACGTCATAGCACGAATAATAATGATAGCTAACTTGGCTCCCATAAGTAAAGTAGGACTTAAAACCGACTACATGAATCTGTACTAGGTGAGTTGTATGAAGAAAGATCACATAAGTAAATTCAATACAATTTCGTTCATTTTTACAGACATCCAACTTTGAAGAAAAACATATGAAATGTAGATGAGTAAGGGATACTTTTGATTGAGATCATGAACTGACTGATGTGAGACCACCATTGAAAACCCGGAAGCACTGGACGGCCGTTTTGTCCCATTGTGGGACTCCTCAGCAGTGCGCATCCACGATCCCACCCGCGGGATTCGAACCCAGGGCCTTCAGTCTCGCGTGCGAACGCAGGTGATTTCACTAGTCAAAATCACTGGTAAAGTGAAACGGAATTAAGTCGACACAGTAATCAAGTTTGTAAACTTCCTATGTTGATCACTATTGAAAAACAAGAAGCACTAAACAGTTATTTTGTTCTAATATAAGTTTTCCTAATACTGTGAATATACGACCATACAATCGGGAGTCAAACCCAGGAACTTCAGTCCTGTGCGAGAACGTTTAACATGATAATTGAATTGATACAGTAGATCAAGAAAAAGTCGTCAAACGACAAGTTGAATAATTAAACACCGTCATCTTTGGTTGACTGACGAACTAACTGACTAGAGAACCGTAAAAATATACAAATAAATAAATAATGATTTCCATAAGGAATGTATTAAATTTAGGAAAAAAACGCTTTTGACACACACACACACCAAACTTCACCAACTTACTTTCCCTTTATGAATAGGTAGTGAATAGATTTTCTCTTGTGGAATATTGGATAAATATAATGATGATGATAATGATTGGTTTGATTGATTATCGACTTTGTCCAATTCAATCCAGTAAATTGTGAGCATTATTGATTCACAACGGTTAATTTCATTCGACATTAATTTCTTATTCAAATGATTATTACATAATGAAGATGATATGACATGGTTGAATGATTCCACTATTCTACTCGACGAAGATGATGATGAGACAGGCAAATCCATAAGCGGGTTTTTCCTAATCAAATCAGGCGGTCTTGCACGCATCTATAAACAAATAAATATTAAAATGACTTCAAGAAAAAAACGGTTTAGAGCGCACTTTTAAAGAATATGTATACATAATGCTAGTCAAAATTAATATATTTGATAAATGTGATGTTTAAACTTGAATTATTAATACCATTACTGTTCATTACTATGGTGTGTGCTACTTGTACGGACAAATATAAGTAGTGTGGATCAGGAATCGAAAGTATAATTGTTACGGATAGAAGAGGAAAATGAACAGAAAAGAAAGGAAAACAGAAAGCAATCGAAATAGCGATAGGAATGAAAGAATGATGAAGTTCGTAAGGGGAAACTAAATGAAGATGAGTAAATAGTGTATTTTATGTACAGTTTTCATATTTTACAAATACGGTGTGATTTTGCATAATACAAAAATTGGTTTACTCTAACCAAGTCTTCGTTCATTGTACTATCGTTAAATCGACCGGCGATTATTGAGATCTTGAGGCTAACATCAATGTGTGTTGATATTAAAATAACAGATGAAGGGTTATATGCTATTCATTAAGGTTTCATACACAGATACATTGGGGAGTACGTAGACGAGATATATTACGATTAAGGTGATTTATCATGAACAAGTGAAAACAAATTTACCAAACAATATGTGCATAAATTAAGCCACAAAGAAAATTGCATGAGTTCCCTGTGGAATTGGTTATTTATAAATAACTTCTCGTGATCGATAAAAGAGCACACAGATGATTGCAACGAAATCCCGCAGGTTTCTTTTGAAAAGCCCTACAAATTTTAGCCACTGAGTCAGGATCCGATTTTTTTATACTCATCATACTATAGACTGTACTCACCACAGAATGATTTCGGTTGGAGAACTAGTGAAAATCAAGAAGCACTAGACCCCCGTTACGTCTTTCCAAATTTATTTCACTGGATTATACTCCTTGAATAAAATCTTCAAACGCTAAGCTTTCCGATTACTGCTTATACTCTTACTACCTCTACCACTGCAGGATTTGAATCGATAACTGCATCTCTGTGCTAATGTGGTTTGGCAACTCGAACTGATGTACGTACGTATGAAGTTCCACGTTGTTACTGACTGACTGACTATGAGCATTACGAGAAAAAAAGCGACAAGGCTGGGAAATCTGACCACTAACAAAGTCAAAAGATAAGAGCTGGATATTTAACAAGATTTAAAAAACATTTAAATGTTTTATTTTAACATGACATATTGTCGGTAAGCACACATTTGTCAAAATATCCCATTAATCATGCGCGCACCCTTAACATGCAGATCACTGAGCTGGCACAATGGTGTGGAATTCTGAATTTAACCGATCCATGATATTACGTGTTTATCATCTATTATCTTTAGCAAGTAACTTCGTTGCACTCGACATGATTGGACTTCAATGGTCAGAGTTTTCCATGAGAACATCGGGAATTTCCTTCTGAAGGTGCCCACAAATGAGCAAACGATAATTATCAGTATGGAGTTGTGAAGAGACCAAGAACCGGTATAACAAAATTTAAGTTTACATTACCCAATACGAACATAAGACTTTTCGCGCATAGAAAAACAACTGAATTAATCAAAAGAGAATGGATAACTATTTGAAATGAGTCCAAATAAATATCATTGGTAGTAAACCCATTGAGGGATAAAATAGGTCGATTTGGATAAGGCAATATTTAATCAATATTTTTAAATGAACGATAACAATCTGATATGTTGATGTGAAAACAGTCAACTTGTTTGTTAGATAAAAATTTATTCAACTAAGCTACTAATCGCTGACAAGAACATAGTAGAGACTCATTTAAACGCGAACAGATGGACGCGCTTTACAAAACTTCGCAGTGCTAATACGATGCACAAACACCAATCAGGTTTGTCGTGGAAACTCGTGAAAGATGAAGAAATCGACCGGAGAACTAATGAAAGCAGGAGGGGGCATTAAAGATAAAAATTCCATCTTCACCTTTTACTCACTTGAATAATTGTATATTCTTCACCCTCAATGTAACGGATTAAATTCTGAAATGAAATAGGCTATTTTCAGCCTAGGGTAGTGAAGACTGTTGAATTTCATTCAAACTATGAACCGATCAATGTTATACCACACCAATGAAAACCTGGAAGCACTGGACCGCCGTTTTGTTCTAGTATGGAACTACTTACAAGTGTGTATCTACAATCCCATGCGCAGGATTAGAATCAAGGACCTTCAGTCTCACGCGAATGCCTTACTTCTAGATCACTGAGCCGGCATCCAACTGTGTTAATATCTAACTTCAACCAATACACAATACTGTGCGACCATCTTCCGTTGTCTTTGGTGGCTAGCTGTCTTACACTCGACGAAGGTGTACTCCACTGGTCACGGCTGAGGAGTCCTATACTAGGACGGGACGGTTGTCAAGTTCTTCTAGGTTTCCAATGGTGATATAATACCGACCAGTCAACGATTTCACTAAAATGGGTTACCTGGTGATATTGATATTACCAAAGTAATAGATAAGAGATCAAAACACTACAGAATTTATATAACCTTGGTCAATGTAGCAACAAAACACAAAAATTTGTGATATACAGCAGTCAATCAAAAACAAATAATTCGATAATAATTGACTATCAGCTTAGAAGTTGTGGAGATTGTTGAGTTTTTTTATTGAGATCATGAACCGATTAATGTTAGACTACCAATGCTTAACCTACTGGACCACTGAGTCGGCATGGTGTTAATTTCTAACCTCAACCAATCAACGAACATCAATCTGTTCATGATCTAATTAAAAAAAAACTTGACAATTTCCACAACCCCTAAAATGATGATTACGATGTGCTCACTAGTGACAAGCTTCGTGAGAAAATTCTCGGAGTTCTGGTGAGAAGCCGTGACTAGTGTAGCTAACCTGTTTCGGGTAGAAACAGGTATCTACCTCAGTATAATGGAAGATGGTCGCGCAAATTCGTGAATTGGTTAAGGCTAGACATTAACACCATTGGATGCCGGCTCAGTGGTCTAATGGGTAAGCGGTCGCGTGCGCGAGACTGATAGGTCTTGGGTTCGAATGTCTCGGGAGGAGGGATCGTGGATGCGCACTGCTGAGGAGTCCCACACTGAGACGAAACGGCCGTCCACTGCTTCCAGGTTTTCAATGGTGGTCTAACATCCATCGGTTCATGATCTCAATCAAAAAACAATTGACTATTTGAACTGTTGTGTACCAGTTTACTAAGCCGAATCGTATCATATTCAATGTAGAAATCCTTGTTCATTAAATTAGGAAAAAGTATATCTTTATAAGATTATATATATATCATATGAGATAACAATCCATTGTTCAAGCTTAAATGGACAGTAATAGTTCTAATTTGCACATACATTGGAATACTATTTGTCTGGTCAGTAATGATAATGGGAAAAATTTATACAAAATCTGTCATTACAAGTATGGATTATGGAAATGAATGACACTTTATTTTTTATTTCATCTAATTTACGAGTATGCTTTTCTATAAAATCAGTGCGAAAAATAAATTTCATACATAATGGGCAATTTACCAGCCTTTTTGAATGTTATTTTACATTCCAGTTATGATCTGAAAGATCGATACAGTAATATCACTGGCTTACACTTAGCACATGTTCATTTGTGTAATGTAGTATAAGTCTTAGTTAAACAAACAAAGTATGAATTTAGGATATTAAGAAGGGAACGTTCAACTTTAAGGCCTAGAAACAAGCGATTCCGTAGTTTAAAGTAAATACGATCGGCACAAGATCTGAAGGTCCTGAGTTCGAGTTCAGATGAAGCTTTGGATACGTGCTATTGAGGAGTTCCATACTAGTAGAAAACAGTTGTTCAGTTTTCCTAGGTATTCAAATGACATTCTTTTATGTGAACCACTTAAAAAGATTTTTAATGAGATTTTCTAGCAAAAGATTAATCAGCTGTAAACTCAAGGAGGTAAATTTGTATTAAATAGACTCGATGTGCGTCCACAGTCCTATCGAAGATCGAACCCAGGATATCCAGATCATCCAGTAACTATCCAGTAACTATTGAGGCCGGACCGAATGGTTTACATGTATGACATCAGTTAATGTGAGATGTTATATGACTATCATCCAATGTCGTCGATTAAAGTTTTTCAATAGAAATCTGGAAATTACATCTTGAAATTAGTTAGCTCATGGTTATTGTTATTATTGCTGAGAAGCTCCATATTAGGATGAAATACATGCCCATGCCTTTTAGTTCTCAATGCTTAACTAAAATCAATACGTAATGTAAATTGCAGGATTAAGCAATTTCCACAAACCCCTATTAGTAAGAATATTTCATTCTATACACACTGAGGTGAAATTCTATATCTTCTGTTTACTTGAAATAATTAAGTATTACAATGGTTAACATCAAGAGTCCGTTGAAGCTAGACCACCATGGAAAACCTGGAAGCACTGGACGGCATATTCGTCCTATCGTGGGACTCCTCAGGAGTGCGCATCCACGACGTCGCCCCATCTGAGATTCAAACTTAGGACCTACTGGTTTCGCGCGCGGGCACTTGGTCACTAGACTACTGAGCCGGCATCCAATGCATCAACACCTGAACAAAAGATAGGGAGTGAAGTAGTCAAACGCGTTGACAACTTCACTTATCTTGGAAGTCTGACCAGCCCTACTGGGTTGGTGTCTGACGAAATCTCAGCACGTATTCGAAAATCTCGTTTGACTTTTGCCAACTTACGTCACCTATGGTGAAGGCGAGATATCTGTCTATCAATAAAAGGACGAGTATACTGCGCGGCAGTAAGTTCTGTTCTAATTTACGGCAGCGAAACATGGCCATTGAGAGTAGAAGACACTCGTAAGCTATTAGTATTTGACCACAGATACCTTAGAAATATTGCTGGCGTCTGCTGGGATCACCGGGTAAGTAATAGTGAGGTTAGACGCAGGGTATTAGGGAATGATGGTAAATCAGTTGATGAGGTTGTGAA